ATTTTTGATGCTAGTAAGTTAGAAGTCGCTTAAACAGCATGGGTTTTCTCAACCATCTGCACTCGTGACATCTTCCACAGTGGCATTTTCCCGCCATCAATCTACACAAGGACACAAACTGGGATGCTTACTCAAAAACACTTTGTGAGAGCTCAACATTAAGAGTCAAGACCGACCTCAAACTCCAACAGGGCATCAGTAATTAAGGCGATGTCGAAAAGGAAATGAATGTGTTCCCAACGTCGAGTTCCCAGCTCAAATGACACCTGCTGCATGAGTTTTGTCTTTTACCGGTCTCATCGTTCCGTACAACGAGATAGGATGGTCATAGAAATCCCTACAAATAACTCTAAACATGTACGGGGATTCTGCTTTACTCAGACTGATGTGGAGAAGCGCTAAAAGGATTCCAAATATAAAGAAGGGCTTAGAAACCACCCCGTGTTGCAAGCTAATATGAATCGAAGCGCTCTTGAAAACAACCAACCATCCACAGATAAACTTGCACCAAATTCGACAAAAAGCGCACCACACGCCATGTTGCCTTGATAAGATATTCATGGCAGCACCTTCACCTTTCAAACACACAAGTCGTTTCGTAACATCGGAATACAGTGTAGAACGGCACTCGCAAAAGGGCGAAGGCTGCATAACGAAGGGAGAGCTGTAAACTAAACAGTAAAACTCTAGACTGGTTATATTCAGCCTTCGCCATGTCATCCATATTCCAAGTTCAACATCACACAGTTCTACATCAAACAGGCCAATGCAAGAAATAAGTCTGCGTTTATATTGTAGATACGTAGTACATTGAAACAGCAATATAGAGGTGGTATGATGTTGTCTACCTTGGGGTCAATTTATTCCAGTTTGAGAGGAAAATATAGCGTTGCAATTGACAAAACTGGCACGCTCGGTGCCACAGGGGTTACCAGGCTTCTTAATAAAGAGGTCGTGCAAGCGTTGTGTGGCGGCGTGGAGACTGACGAGGCGCCCCACATTCAAGCCACCGACTCGCGTGCCTATGCGACCCCAGGCACGCAAAACTCGGTGTTGACGCGGACTCTCTTCTGAGCACAGCACCTGCAATCTAACGGTTATAGCGGTAACCAATGCATGTCGTTTGACTAATAGCAGTTGTGCCGTATGTAGAGGCGATGTGGAGGAGGGGGATGATTAAATTCACTGCTACAGTTACCAACATCAGCTACCATCTTGCGCATGCTAAACTGTGCAAGTATTCCTTTCTGTGATAAGCACCTGTCTCGATACCTAGTCCTTCACATTTCTGCTTTGGAAATAACTGCTAAGATTACAGTTCTGCAATTAGTTAATTGCACTTATTTCCGTTTGACATAAAAGGAATATACTAATTAACTGAATGCCGCCTTCCACCGTCGTCTCAGCCTCCACTCCCCGCCTTCGCCCCACCGACTGGACCCATTCAGCTGCCATAACCAAGTGAGTGAATGAGCGGGAGGCTATTAAGGGTAGTGACAACACCGATTGTTAGGCGTGCGTCTTTCAAAGTTAGGTGGTGATCCTTGTCATCGGACTAAAAATCGGAAGGGGGTGATTTAAGGAGGAAATTAGTAGAGACCCAGTTCAACAAAATTACTAATCGCACTTGCCTCTAAAAGGGTATGAAAATAAAGAAAACCAAACTACTTCCTCTATCATATTCGTGTTGCGGGGAGCAGTAGGAAGGCTCAGTACCTCTGAGAACCTCATCAATTTCGGCCTTTGTTGACAGTGCTAACTTAGTCTGTGAGGAGGTCGTGGAGGCGCTACATGGAACTGTCGAGAGTGACGAAGAGCTCTGCTCTCGAGCCGTCAATATCCGTGCCTATGCGGCCCCAGGCACGCAAAACTCAGGGCTGACGCAGCTTCTTGTCTGATTGCATCACCTGCAATCTTACGCGTATAACAACAAGTATCAACATGCACATGCAGGATTGGGCGGCTATTCCTTTCTGTTACAAGCATCTCTCTCGATGCTGGGGTCATTCAGATCTCCATTTTGACTTTACCTAAGAAGATTGAAGACCTATCGTTAGTTAATTGCACTCATTTGTTTTATAAAGCTGAATAAACTCAACAACCAAATGCACGAATATTACAAACCTAAGAAATAATGCCGACGCCAACTTCTGGGGAGGGCAAGGGGAAATAAGGAAATCTGACCTGCAATGCCAGTGTTAGACGAGCACAAGGTCAACCATGCCAAGGGCGACGGAGAGCAGATTACTGTAGACAGTGCGAGCGACGGTGGCGCAATCCTCGAGGTGGGACCCACTACGGCATCGTCCTTCACGCACAACCGCTGCAATACATCGCTACCACCTTTCGCCACCGTCTCCAACTCCACTCTCCGCTTTCGCCCCGCCGACTCTACCTGCCGAGCTGCCAAAGCGAGGTAAGCGAGTAAGAGCAGAAGGTTGTCAAGACTTGTGACACCACCAAAGGTCAGGCATGTCTTTCAAAGTTACATGGTGGCCCTTACTGCCTAGGGAGAGTCTAAGGGGGTTACATTATGAAGGCAATCATAAAAGACCCCACTTAACTCAATTAATAATCGCACCCACGCCTGAAAGATGATCGAATTGAAGGGAAGAGAATCAATTTCCCTCACCATGCTTATGACGTGGAGAACAGTAAGGAGTCCAATGCCTTCGATATGTTTCTACATTTCATCCTTTATCGACAATGCCAAGCCAGTGTTCGTGAGAAATTTTAACAACCGCAGTTGGATTGTTACCCATTTTACACACACTACTTAAAATATTCTTCAAGGACCAATTTCACCCTGACAATTCAACCAACATGTCTGGGAGGTTCAAATATAGCCCACAGGGTGACGGGTGGGTCGGCTGTATTGACAGCTAAACGGCAAGTCGTTTCCTTCATTACCATAACCAAGTCATGTTGGCCCAAGATTTCACATCGACTTGTGCTTCATGATAGGCGCACAGGGAGGAACTACAGAGAGCAAGCAGGGAAAACCGACGAGCATACGCAAACAAAACGACACCTGCAAATTAAGACCTAAAGAAAGAAGTACAGCAGTAAAACCATCATTTTAAAGGCATTACGAGCTCGGCGAGACAGTGTTTGGGAATAATTGTCTAAGGGTGGAAAATGAACACAAGTTTGTTAACGAGGAAACAGATTACTCACAGAAGTCGACCCGGACTCACGCTCGCTACCTGTGAAGGCGAAGCGAGAAATCATGCCACAGCAAGGATTTACATTCGATGGAACACAAAGCCGATATCATCCTCTTCTCGATCTCGGCCTTAAAACGGTGGGCCATTTCCACACCACCTCTTCAAAAGGACATTTATATTTGCGATAACCGCAAGTCATTTAGACAAAGCCAATTCCGTCCCTGAAACAAT